TTCGCGGGGGGGGGGCTTGGAACTGCTAAGGACCCAAGATATCCCCCCCACTCCTGTTCCTCCCCACCTTTCTGCTCTTGGAAAGTCAACCCGACTCAGACACAGACAGGCAAAGGGCTGCCAAACAGGTTCTGTCTTCAGTTAGTGCCCCGGTGGGGGGGGGCAGGAAGAGGGTGGTGTTCTCCGTGGGGCCGGGATCCTCAGAGAATGGCCAGGGGCTCCTCCAAGCGAGCTGCCTGCAGGGTGGAAGCATTCGAAGGCCACCCGATCGGTCCCTGGGCCAAACCGCCCTCCCCACCAGGAAGTCCTTCCTAACGTTTCACCACCCTGGAGCTGTGCCGAGCAGGCTCACTCCCCTGTCGGACCCTCCACATGGGCTGGGCTACAACCCAGTGTGCTGGCAGGGTGTGCGCGTGATGGGCATCGGACTCCAACACAACCTGGGAGGTGGGGTGGGGTGGGGAGAAGAGATGGTGGGCCTGTCTGGAGAAAGCTCATGCGCTGGGGAGCAGGGCCTCTGTTGGGGATGACAACTCCCATCTTCCCCTACCCAGCAGGACTGTGGGTCACGCTGACTGGGGTGGAGGATGGGCCCTGAAGCACGACTTTTTAACCCCTTAACAGCTGGCATCCGAAGGGCAGTGTGCCCAGCGATAGAGAAAGAGGAAGCCTCGGCTTCGGGACGTGACTCCCCACGCCTGCTTCCCCTCTGTGTGTCCAAGGCCCCCAGGCCCCTGACAGAGGGATTCCCCTCCTGCCTCCCCACCCTGCGCAGTCGCGGAGCGTGGCCGCCCCTTCCTTACCAATAGAGCACCGAGTGCTGGACCAAGGCGTACGTGTCGCCGTCCTCGATGATCACCTTGCAGTTCATGCAGGCGAAGCACTCCGGGTGGTACTTGTACTCTCCGGCCACCTGCCAAGAACGGCGACGTCAGACATGCCACCCAGAACGGGAGCAGGGCTGCCTTGGGGACCCTCTAAGGGACCCCCTGACCCCCTCGGGCCCCTTCTGGAAAGGAGAGCCCCCCAATCCTGTGCTTTGCCGTTCTGCAAAGGGAGGGGCTGCATGACCACACTCGGTGGCGTTCTCCTTTTGCAAGCTCTCCCAAAGCCCGAGGCGCAGCCATGAGCGTGGCCGCTGGCTCTCACCAGCCTCTACTCAAGGCTGCAGAGCCAGGAAAAGCCCCTGTTTGGGTTGTTGTTGCCCCAAATCTCCCCTCCCCTCCCCGCCCTCGCCTGGCCTATGGGGAGCCAGGGCCCCAAAGGTCACTTCCCCAGGCCCCGGGGCTGGCAGAGGCCCCCAACCCGTCCTGCTGCTGCCCCGCGCCCTGTCCTTACCATGACGGGCCCCGTCATGAGCAGGGAGCAGCCGTGGCAGGATTCTCCAAATTTCCTCCAGTAGTCCTTGTGGCAGTACAGCTTCCCACCTTTCTCATAGTACCAGTGGGTGAGGAGGTCCTGGCATTCAGAGCAGCTAGGAGGACAAAAGAAACAAGGGGGTAAAATCAATGCCCGCCTCTTCCCACCCTCCTCCTGCCATCTGGGCACACCTGCCGCCTGCTGCCTTGTCTCTGAAACATTCAGGCAGTGACGGGCAGGCAAAGCAACCCCGATCCTTTGCGGCAGAAAGGAACTGAGCGAGCCTCCTCTTCTATCCAAGCTTCCTCTCTCTCTCTCTCTCTCTCTCCAGCCTGCAGCAACAACCTGTTAGGAAGAGGGGGGGGGGGCAAGCCTCTCGACTTGGGGTCCTCAAGCAGGGATATCTGAAACATAAGCTCACAAAGTGAGGAGCAAGCTCGTGACGGAAGCCCCCACTCTGCCCTCCCCGGATCCTGTCCATTGCCCCTGGGAGCCCCTGAATCAGGTCACGGTGAGTTTGTTCACTGCTGTCCAGTCGGATTTGACTTACAGCCACCCTAACAGGGCGTTTGAAGTACATTTGAACTTTTAAAAAGCCAACTTAAGACCTGGCTCTTTAGGCAGGCCTTCCCTCCTGTCATCACCTGATTAGTTTTTTGCCATCTTGAACACTACTATTACTATTGTTGTTTTTATTTTATACTTTTGCTTTTATGTCTTGCTGTTAGCTGCCCAGGGTAGACTTCTCTCTAGATGGGCAGGGTATAGATGGAATAAATAAATACATTTACCGGTACCAATATCCTAGTTGAGATTTTAGGACTGCGCAAGGATTCAAATTGAGCCCATCACTCCACCTCCTACGCCCCACTGGGTAAACTGACTCAGGTCACCCGGGGACATTTTATCCTTCTTGGTGGGAATCCGAGGCCGGCCGACAGAGCTGCACCTTGCATACTCTTGCAAGACAGACGTTGCTGCAACATTCTCTTGGGAAAAGGTGTTTGTGTGTGTGTGTGCACAGGCGCGCATGTGTGTGATAGTTTGCAAGGAAAGCCGTCCTCCGCTACGTCACCTGACAAATGCCAGCAGGAAAAACGGGTGAACGAGGTCTGCCCAGACCTGCCAAAAGGCTGCTCACATTCCCCCGGCTGCTCTGAAACGTGACGGGTTCCGCGCAGGAGCCCTTCCGCACCAGGAACCTGCACAAGCCGACCCCCCCCCCCCCTAGGCGGGGCAGAAATAATTT